AAGGTGAATATGCATTTGATTAAAACCCATATTAATAAATATGTAACTATACACAACAAGCAAAAATGCATTTATTTTAAGGCCTATTTCTATGTTTGGGGATCATTTCATATTTTCCTTCTCTTCTTTATTTCTATCCCAAAAATGAACTTCTAATACATTTTTATAGAAATCTAATATATGGGATTTTAAATGTTAATTTAGTATCTTTAGAATCAGACGGATCAAAAATAACAAAATAAAGACATTTTAGGTCAAATTGTCTAGAGATTTAAAAATTTGTATTTACATGATATACCCAGACTTGACTTTAGGAAACAAATATTCAATTCGTATTATGCACAAATTCCTCTTGGAGCACCTTTATTCAAATGAACACATCTCCAGAACTAATTACTTTTTTCCCAGTGAAGTAGTTGAGTTGACACATGGAAATTCATGAAAGTGTCCAGAGTGCCAGGGCGATCCACTTACGTCTGAGTATTTTGTGTGCTGCTCTTTAATGGAGACGGCTGCCAGAGCGATCGCATAGCGCTGATAAATAATAAAAATTAAAAATAAATTAACACCTAGTAAAGATGCAACGGACTGGGGACTGGTTTCTCTGCCACTTTGTCCCTGCTCTGTCATTACTTGGGACCTGGTTTCGAATGTTGTCGGTCCGCAGACAGCTTAAAAATAGCGCAAAAGTAATTAAAAACGAAAATATAAAAGCAAAAGACAAACGCACACACGCACACACGAACACCCATATCAACCGTCCCCTCTCTCTCTTGAAAAATAATAAAAATAACAAGAAAGGAAAGCTAACTTCGGGCGGAGCCGAAGTTGATATACCCTTGCAGAATACTCTGTAAATTATATTCTCCAAAATTATTCATATGATGCATTCTTAATACTCATAAAAAATCCGAACTTCCTAACTTTAACAACAACAAAGTTATGGCATTTCCAATCGTTCAGTTATATGGCAGCTATAGGATATAGTCGGCCGATCCTTATGAAATTTGATAGGTCGGATTGATTGGCCAAAAATAAAATCCATAGAAAATCCCAACTTCCTAACTTTACAAACACCAAAGTTATGGCATTTCCGATCAATCAGTTATATGGCAGCTATAGGATATAGTCGGCCGATCCTTATGAAATTTGGTAGGTCGGATTGATTGGCCAAAAATAAATTCCATAGAAAATCCCAACTTCCTAACTTAACAAACACCAAAGTTATGGCATTTCCGATCATTCAGTTATATGGCAGCTATAGGATATAGTCGGCCGATCCTTATGAAATTTGGTGGGTCGGATTGATTGGCCAAATATAAAACCCATAGAAAATCCCAACTTTCTAACTTTACAAACACCAAAGTTATGGCATTTCCGATCAATCAGTTATATGGCAGCTATAGGATATAGTCGGCCGATCCCGGCCGTTCCGACTTATATACTGCGTGCAAAGGAAAGAAGGGTGTGTGCAAAGTTTCAATCCGATAGCTTTAAAACTGAGAGACTAGTTCGCGTAGAAACAGACAGACGGACAGACAGACGGACAGACGGACAGACGGACAGACGGACAGACGGACAGACGGACATGGCTATATCAACTCAGGAGGTGTTCCTGATCAAGAATATATATACTTTATAGGGTCGGAGATGTCTCCTTCACTGCGTTGCACACTTTTGACCAAAATTATAATACCCTCTGCAAGGGTATAAAAATTATGCTCGCCTATATTGAATTTAACAAGCGCAACGTCGATGCAGGCAGAGATCAAAGGAGGCTGGGGCTCCATGGGATATACGTAGGTATGTGCATTAGGGCGGTCCCAATTTGTATCACAATTTTGAGTTCATAATCTGACCTCCTTAAATATTGCGATTGGGTTTATTTTGGACATACCAAAAGGAAGTTTTCGAACAAGTGGGTTTTAAGATCTACATTTGTGCAACACTCATACTTACTATTGTATTTTGTCAAATAATATATTTTAAATGTCATTACAAACGTGTCAGATGATTGTTTATTACGGTAATAGAACATAATGTTTTGATTTCCAAATACATTCATTGTACACTAAAATTTACCATTTTAAAGAGTTTTTTTGGTCCACCCCAATGTACATATACATATACCTGAAAGTGTTGCCCGGCCCGATAATGATGATGCTAATGCAATTGACATTTTATGCGGCCATAGAATGCCGGGCATGGCCGATAATTAAATGCAATAATAATTCAATTTAATTAGCTGGCAGCTGGCTGCACGTCGCCGAAATACCCCAAGGGGAGTGTTTAAATATTGATGGATTGATTAGCATAATATTTGGTTTATGATTTCACATTGTTTGGGGATTTGGTTGACGTGGACAGCATCAGCTAATTGAAACACCTTAAAAGAGGTCATTAGTTATCCAACATCTGTCAAGGGTGTTGATTGTGTACAGAGAGGATGTGTGGAAATGCAAATCGGAAGTATTGATGTTAATGGTAGTTACTCATAATAAAGTTGAGGGATGGTAATGAACTATTTTTAATAGAGTTTGGGAGATCCTTTATTTTTAAGTGTTTTTTTAAATAGTCCCATTCAAAATAATATTGAAAATGTGGTTAAAATGAGGCTACATATTATAGGAAACAATTTATATATCTTTTAAGATCGTATTTTATATTTGGATAAAATTAAAGGAAATAAATCTATTAAAATAAATAAGCCTATTCATATAAATAATTTTAAAAAAGGATTAAAAATACTTCTTTAAATACATTTGGACCAAAACTAACTAGTTTTTTAACTATTTCTGCATTTTCTGCAACTGATTAAAATGATTTTGGACAGTGGCAAGCTATTGTTTATTGCCTAACAAATCGGATTAAGAGTAAGCTTTTACGAAGCCATACAAAAAGTCCCGATAAATAGCGATATATCCTTGCCCAAGAGCTTTTGCAGGCACAATGGCCGTTCTGGAGATATTTCATTGAATCAATTAACGCTGGACATGGCATAATAATTACTGTCTGCTGCACACACAAGCACACTTGTAGACACAACCCACCACCCAACACACAACCACCCACACACACACACACAGGACATGTTCATTTCTTCATTGATAACTGGAAAGGATGCCCATCCTGGCCTTGTTGCTTAACCAACTGTAACAGTCCAACTGAGCGAGTGAGAGGCAAGAGCCTGATAGAAAGAGACAGGGACAGAAAGTCAGAGGGGGAAAGCACGAGCTTACGCAAACAGAAGCCGAAGGATTCACATCACATTCAAAGGAATTATATTAGGCAAAAATATTTGCACTTCGTTTTAAATGCTGTTTTTATTTTAAATTTTAAAAAATCATATTTAGTTTTTACTTTACATTTTAACAATGATAGCCTTGCTCTTTGTTAAGCACAATTTGGGCTCCCCAGTATTAAAAAAAATAGTCAAAAACCAATTTTCTTTACAAGTATTATTATCATAAATTCAAGGATTTGTAGTCAAACACAAGTTATTAACAAATGCTTTAAAAATATGTTATACCTTACATTACAAATAATACTCGATGAGTACAATAACGATGATAAGTAGCTCTTCCAAAATTATTAAGCAAGCCCCATTAAAAATTTTTCTCCGTGTAGCAGTAAAAAAAAATTTGCTCGTATTAAAGCAAAATAATGAAGTGAAAATGGCAACAATGTGATTACACACAGTCATAGACCCAAAGCCATAATAAATTGTTTCACAAGCGAGGGGTCAGACCGAGAACTGGGAGTGGGACAGAGATGGCGATAGGGCGAGAGAGAGAGCGAGCATCTGCGTCGGCGCTATTCGAAATGTTGCCGGCATTTTCTAGCAACATGATACTGGCGGCTAACTTGTTGGATGCAGCTGCCCCACTTCATAATTTCCTTCGGCGGGCAGAAATTAAAAAAAAAAAAAACTTTTCGCTCCCGCACCGATTTGTCTGGCAAACAATTTCCGAATTGCGATTGCTTAAACGCAATTCGAAAAGTTATTAATTGAGCAGCCGTAATGAACTCATTTACAGTTCGTAATGTGCTCCCATTACGGGCACACAAACAGCTGCCGGATTCTGATTTCGATTCCGGGGCACTTGATGGCAACATTACGTCGAGTTAAATTGCTTGTAATGACGACTATGGGGCGCCGGGGGCGGGCGAGGGGTTAAATAGGGCTAAATGTGTCCAATCACTCGGGGCGATTGGGGTGTGGGTTCTATTCGAAACAGGCAAGCAAATGTCAGACAGCGTTTCTCCATTTGCCACTGGACGACTGGGAGCCAGACGTTCGATATGGATATGACTACATCCTAATGGATACACACGATTCTATCTTATCGGCCCTTCAGAAGGCGACCAACTTTGGCCAAATGGGATTTGGTAAATGTCAATACATGGCTATAACATTTTACTCAAAATATGTTGGCTTCCAGACAATATCTTAGTATTTATTATATTTAATTAATACAATATTGATTGAACGGGTACTTTTAAGACTGCTTACCCGAAGGTCCATCACCTACTCAATGAAATTGGATAGGACTAAAAAAGTCCATTTATATAGTACCCATTTTAGATAAAAGTTAGCAATGGCAAATTTGATTAGCTTGTTGCTGTTTTTATATGCAGTACTAGCTTGAATTCAAAAAACAAAGTAAATATTAAAATATTTTAATCTAAGCTTCAAAAAATATAATATTTTTAATATCAAAATCGGATCAACTTTGTTATTTATTTTTATCTTCATGTCTGCAATTGCTTGAACTCAAATTAACTAAATTAGTGAGCCCTTTAAGTTCAAAATTTCAAAGTAAATTAATTTTGGAATTGAAAATCTTCTTAAATCCATTTAAAAAGATAAAAAATCAAATTTAGTTCCGTTTTTTAAATAAGTGTTTCAGTGTTTATGTAGTACTATTTCACCGAAATGTTTTTTTATTTAAAGTAGGCTGTTTTTAGTAATCATAACCAGGCCTGGAGTTTTCATTTAGTCCTATAGAAACTAAGACACTACAACTACTGTCCAACTCAATCGAATCTACAAAAACACAACATCGTATCGAATAGCAGAATTTCACAAAAAACTGCCGTATTTATTGTTTCTCGTTATCGTTTTGTTAATTTTGTGGCTGTTCTTCCTGAATGATGAACGCACTACTGGAACACGAGGGCGGGGATCTGGATCTCGATGATGGCATGCGGATCGATCGAATTGGGGATGCGGCGGCCGGGGATGCAGACGATGATTCGGATTCGCTGGACGAGGCTGGACAGCAGCTCCGGTTCCGGCGTAACAATCGACAGATGGCCCTGCTCCTGGACGCTCCTCATGAGCCGCCCCTGGCGGCTTTTCCGGCCCGAGGAGGTCGTTATTTGGCAGCGGATGGACCACCACGTTTGCGGAAGATGCGCAGTTTCTACACCATGGCCAAGCCATCGTCAATGCTCCACAGTCAGCGGCCGGAAATATGCCTCCTAATGGCCAATGTGACGCGGGCCATGAGGGAAGTTCAGGAGGATCAACGGGGCGAGTATTTTGCCAACTATTTGGTCGAGAATATGACCAGTCAGAACTATCCCAATGGTGTGGGCCTGCCACAACGCTGGGGTCAGTTCTAACTGACCATGTTTTGCCCGGACGGCGAGCTCCACAAGATCGAGCCAACCCATTGGGATCCCAACTCGCCCACTCACTACTCAAAACAACTTCATATTCATCATTACCCCAGGAAAGTCCCTTCTCCTCGACTCTCCTGATATAAGAATGCTTGTGGCTTGGCAATGTTCGCGTTTCAATCACGTTCAATAAACAACACTGTTCAGCAAAGTTACATTTTCATATTTGGTTTTTAAATTTCAATTTAAATTTTCAAATTTTAACTTTCAAACTTTACTATTCAAAATTTCAATTTTTTTAATTTTAAATTAGTTTAATTTCCTACATTTGGTTTTCAAAATTTTCCCTTTCAAATTGTTACCTAAACATATACCACAACATTTAAACACTTGCAAAAAAAAAAAAAGGTTGTTGAAAATGAGCATATAAATATATAAAAAATATGTTCTTTGCTTTGATTAATTAAATTAAACTTAAAAATGGCCAAAAAAGCTATAGTAGGTGTTTTAATTCACGATTTGGTTGGTAATTTATTGTCTCTAAATAACGCAAGAAGTAGAACAGAAAAAATTCAAAATAAAAATGTAAACCAGATTTATAAGCTTTAGTTGATCCCTAAGCAACTTGTAGCCCTGTGTGGTCAAACAAAACTTCACTTACAGGTATCAGGTTAATAAAGCATTTACTGTTCAAATGGAGAGGCTCACTTTTGCAGCACGTACACACAAATCAAAGTTTTTGATTTTGATTTGCTAGCAGGCCGAAGCCAATTGCCAGAAGGCTACCAAAAAATTCATGAAATTGACAATTAATAAACTTCAAATTGGAAGCCGCACATACGTACGCCTGGTTGTGTGGGAAAACAAAAGGATTTGCAGGACCCAACATCAACACACATATGGACTACGGCCACTGACAATGGCCACAATGAACATTGGAGGCCAGAGACAAAGACCGAATGCGGACAATTGCCCAAAGTGTAGCAAATAAATACAAAATGCAAAAGATAATTGCAATCAAAGCCACAAAATGTAGCCAAAAGGCTTATAAATTGTGGGTGGCGGACGAAAGGCCGCAGGGTTGGGCCATTGTGGATGTGGATGTGGATGCAGGAGCCAAGGTAAACGCATTTAATTTCCTAAATGTGCTTCACATACCACAGACGGCACCGAGATACACACTTGCACACTTCATATACAAATACGCTACAGTCAGTTGCAGTGTTGCAGTTGCAATTGCATTTGCAACATCATCCCCCCCTTCCACCAACAACACCCCCGTCCAACAAGAACAACAAGCAGAAGCAGTTGAAGCGACGGCAATTTACGGCCATTATTGCAACAGACAGCCAGCTATATTATGTGCCACGCCCGCAATAAAAGCACTGAAAAAATACTTTATTCGTTAAGTGGAGATGGAAATCAGTATTAGGAAATTCCAAATTTACCTACAATTCGCTTTTACTTTATGTTTAATTTAGAATCAAGAAAATATGGTATTGTAAGTCCGGTCAACTAATTTTATTGTGAATCGAAACTTCTACTTAAAATTTTTTTTATATTGTTATTATTTCCAATACACACTTACCTACTGAGTTTGCAAATTAAAAATAATTATTTTTAATTTTTGATTAAAATAAAACAAAACTATAATCAATAAATCTAGCTAGTCATAAGGCTTACCAATCTAAAATCTTTTGAAATGCATAATGAATGTTTTTTGTAAAACAATCATAATCTATAGAAAGAAATGCTAGGGAATATCTGCAGTATCTATGATTATTAAGTCATTATTCATTCCTTTTAGATTAGCTTGGAAAATTGGATTTTTTTTTATTTAGGTAGTAATCTTAAATACTGAAAGGAAATATGAATTTTAAAAGATTAAATGGGATCATGTCAACTAATATTATATTTCATACCACATTGTTAATAGGGTGTCCTGAATGTGGTTTAAAGTTTAGTGACTTGATGTAAATTGATGTATACGTTTGTTTGTTCAGTGCATGAACTCCTCACCTCCTCCGCACCCTTTTTCCAGCCGCCCCTGACAGGAAGAGTGGGTGGGGGGTCTCCTCCTGCCATAACTTTTTGTGGCTGCTTTTAGGCTGAGCTTTTGCATTTGCTTTTTGGCCGCTCTGTGATTGCTGTTGCAAATGGCCACATGCAACAATGTTTTTGGGTTGCTCCTGCCACCGCGCGCCCCCTAATTGAATTGCATTGAATTGAATTGATTTTCGGTTAGCTTTGTCCGCCTAATTGTTGCATTTACAGAGGGCGGGATGGCCATTTGAAAGCATTATGCGCAGAAATCAAATTAAACAAAAGTCGAATGTAAAAGGGGGTAACGTTTAAAACGTAATTATGACATGTGGCAAGGGTTGATTAATCTACGAACATGCTGCAACAATCTGACAATCGAGTGGCATGGAGTTCTCCGTTTAGATTCCATTGTTTGACAGACGATGCCGATCCAAACCTCAAGGTAAATGGACCTGGACCTGTGTTATTGGGGTTGCTGACTGGGTTTCCTGCATTTCACCCGCCGGCAATGAAACGCACGAAATGTGATTGATGCTCATCCGCTATCGCAGAGCTCCATTGTTGCGCGATGTCTTTGATCTATGACCACCCTCCACCACCTGGGCATTGTTGAGTAATTGATTTTACCCCACATGACTCCCTTTCAACCACCCACCATCACCCCCAAAAATAGCCAAGTTAATTTGAGTTCATCTACATGCCGGCATGAATTCAATGTCGCGGCAGTTTCTTGTAATTTCTCCCTAATTATATACACACTTAAGTTCGCATTAATTATTGTCACTGAGTTCTTGTGAAATCCCCCCAAAACTCAAACGGTCGGGATTTTGCCCGCTCAGCAAAGTTACGTACAAACAATTACAGAAACGCGACAGAGCGGTAGAATTTTAACGTTATAAGACTAAATGCTTAAATACTCTACTATTGTAAGTTCAATATTTTGAACAATTATGTTTTATGTACCTGTTTACACAGTTTTCAATGACATCTGCTTGCAGCACATAAAAACTGTTTGTTGTTTTTTCAATAGATTAAATCCCAGCAAAGCTAAGAATAATTGTTATTTATTATTTTTATTTATTTCGAAATGGATAAAACAATATTTTAAATATAACCAATTATTTATAACCATTTCAATTGACTTAACCAACTAAAAAACCTGTAGATTTGTTACAGCCGATCTCAATTGTTATATTACCTTACATTTTTAACAACTTTTTTTCTAACGATTTAGTTCAAGAATGAAAATTAATACATTTTTTTGTCTGTCTGCAAATTCCTTAAACTTTACTAAGCATTTACTTCAGATGTTATTGTTTTCAAGTAATACCCATTCAGAACTGCCTAGAGTATCTAAGCTTCACTATTGAGTTAAGCGCTTTACATATTTTGTTTTATTCTGTTGTATTTATGGGGAAACGTGTGCAGAAAGTTTTCCACTTACAAACAATTCACAAGTAAAATACCTTGACTTTTGCTGCTGCTGCTGCCCATGGAAAATGGTGGGGGTTTTTGCGGAGGAAGCTGATGTCTGTGACTGCCATTACCAAGGCTCTTATGCCCCTGATGCCCCTGCAGCATATTGCACAAGCACACACACGCACACACACACACTCGGCCAGCTCGTGTAGCAAATTGTTGGAAAATAAAGTAAGTACACCAGCAACATAAACAGCAGCAACAGCAACAGCAGCAACATCCGCCCGAACGAATGGCAAACTGAGCATCAGTTAGAGATACTTTTCGACGTAAGTAGCGTGGGTGGGCTGCAGACGGCCTGTGTTCCTTGTTCCCCTCGGAAACCCACCTCCCAAACACCCCCCTGCAATCCAAGTCGGCTGTCTAAATACGAGCAAACGATTTGTACGTCTAGTTGCTAGTTGGCAACAGCAACTTCTACTGGGGCCATGGCAACATCTGTGCCGTCAACTGAGTTTATGCAAAATAATAATACTCACCTGCATTTTTCCCCTGGGATATCTGCAATGAAACGTTAAGCACGGGCTTAAGTAGGTATTCTTCGATGGCCCCAAAGAATGCAGCTAATGAAATTACTCGATCTCGACTGGCTTCTTGTTTCAGTGTAATAACCTAATTCCATGGTACTATATTATTCATTTCACTGCATCCAACCGACAGGAATTTGATGGAATTTCCTGTAAACAGGCAGCCAACTCCAGCTCGCAGAAGCCACTTCCACTGAATAGACACATACACACGCAGAGTGGATACACTGGGAGAAGGGGACACAAGTCGTCGCGTCGGAGTGGCAGACCGAAGGACTGAAAGACTGAAAGTCAGATGGACGGACACGTAAACAGGCTTATGAGCAGCTCGTAAGGGAACGTCTATTGGATGTCCCCGGTCTTCTGTTGCTGCTGTTGCTCTTTGTTGCTGCTTTTTCTGCCGGTTAAACAAACAGACCAAACGCCACCACAGACAATCAGAAAGGCATTCAGCCAAGAGAATGCCAAACACCAGCAACAAAGCATAGCAAAAACACAGATACCAACGTTGTATTTTTTTAAGAACTTCTTAATTTTAATACAAATTATAGCAAATATTCAAAGAATTGTAGTGTAAATGCTAAATAGTTCCACAAAGAACTTTATCATTGGAATTTCAATTTTAAATTTTATAATTTTGTATTCTTTAATATTAATAAATCAAATAAATTCCAGCTTTATTTATGTAATTTTGTTTATTCTAAGATTTAAAACAATATTCACTTTTTTAAGACATATAAATCTAAATGGTTTTTATATACAATATATAAATACATGAGAAAATTGTATCGCCTAAATATTCAGTTGTTTTAAATAAAGATTTTGAGTTCTGTTATTTAATTTTTTTAATTCATTACCTAAATAATTTCAGAAGATAATGAGCTCGAATTATTGATTCTTGAATTAAATTCCTTATGTCTCGAAGTGATTATTTTAAGCTACCCTTCTAAGATGTCAACGGAAAGTGAAATTTAGACAAGGCTCTATTATTATTTGATTAAATATAAAAGCTAAATTTAGGATGCCATTAGTAATGCTGCAATAAATAATTCAAGAGATTCGCTTAGAGCTTGACTTCGAGCTAAAAGCCAGCATAATATGACTTGAAAACTGTGCTAAAGACACAATTCTCTGGGTGATTCATTTGGCATTTTGCGATCTT